CCCCCCAAAAATCACTCAGATAAAACCACAGGCAAACAAGTCCCAGATGATGAAAGTTCCATTAATCCATGCACAAACTATATACAGGATCTCCCTATTACCCCCCGGTATCCCCACCCCTCGTATCCAACAACAACACCCCTTCGATACCATATCATACAATGCTATCTCCCCCCCCCCCACAAACCCCTTCAGAATGGTGAATAAAAACGGTGATGATGATGGTGATGGTGTTTATTTACAACAGGCCCAAAGCAGCAATACCAATAGCACCGATGCCGACGGCTACGCCGGCAGACATGGTAGGAGCAGGGTTGCTAGTGTGAGTGCTAGTTTGTGTGCTGGTGCTGGTGGAGGTGACGACGACAGCCGTCTTGGTGTCAGTGGCGGTGTTGACTTTGGTGCTGGTGATGGTCACATCGGCGGCGGTGGCGAAGGCCGCAAGGGCGGCGACGATGGAAACCTTGGTGAAGAGCATTTTTGCGTTTGTGTGTTTTTTTCCTTTGGAAAGAATTGAAGAGTGAGTGAGTGTATGTGTGTGTGTGTGTGTGTGAGAGAGAGAGAGAGTTTTTGTAGTGACTGGAGGATGATGAGACTTTGATGTGTTGGATGCCTTGATTTAACAGGGCATTCGAGGTCCTTCTTATACCCCATGATTTTCTGTCCAGCACATTACTCCCTTACCCTGCTCTGTCTCTCGCTGGGGCCTTGTTTACTGCGTTTGCGTTCCAGTACCAGACACGAAGCCGAAATATCCGGTTCTGCCCCAAGCGCTTGTTGAATTATGCCTGGATCGTCGAGTCTAACGATGTAATTGCTTGTTCCAACCAAAGTGTGACGGCGCCTAGGCTGGCCCGCGGTGCTTAGTAGACTTTAGCATGGCGCCAGCCGAACAGCCGAGCGATCGTGCTGATCACAGAAAGCTTGTCCCATGTACCCCACAGCCTAGCGGTCAACTGTGTGGAGTGAAATCTGGGAGAGTTTGGCCTGGTTATTCATAACTTTGTATATAGATACAAACATACAGAGGTAAGACATGCAACGGCTTGGCCACAAACGCTTGTGAGGCTAGACTATTGATGTGTGGCTATTTTCAGTGGCGCGGCCGAATATACGCCTTCTGGATTTGAGCCATTTCCGGGCTACGTTGTCTAGCGGTACGATTGGTAGAAAGACGCTTAGTCGATTATCGAACAGGTGATGCGTCCCACGGAGACGCGTCTTCGGGTAGAACCTGTTTCTGCACCAACACAACAGCACTTATGCGATCCAAGCTTAGTACACTTGATTGGGTGCAGATGCTCCGCCAGTGCAGTATTTGGATGACACCAACTTGTACAGCATCTGGAACGGGTCGTTAGTAGATTCCATTTCAATGACATCTAGTTGCAGAAGCCACTGCTCTAGCCCCATTCAAACTACTGTTGCGTATCGTCACGATGGGTGGTCCATCTCAGAAGACAAAAGGTTCGACCGAAGCATGGCTTGTGCAGAATATGATGCTGTCGGCTTCCACGGCGACAACCGAAACGTTGTTGGTTGTGTTTCATAGGCCAAGGCGTTTATGCAAACAACATAGTGTCTGTGGCTTGATTGGCCACATTCGTCATGGGAAGGTCGAATAAGGCTTCGGCCGTGCGAGCAAGGTATAAGCAATATCGTGGCGCAGCAGTTACGTAGTTGTGGCGGGGCGAGTAGCACAATACGAAATCGAAAATGCCGCTTGAGCCGCGCATAGACGTGCGCCAACCTCAGCCATATATAAATGCCGTTGCTGGTGCAGCAGCAGTTCCTACTTTTCCAGGCACTTGTCCCGTAATATGCTCCTATACTGTAGGTTGTTAATTATATCATTGATGAGGTTGAGTATACTATTGAGCCAAGCCATGGGACTTACGTGCATTCGACCATAGCGGGACAACCCCTGTCATGGAACAACGTTTACTACTTTAGTCCATATATACAACCATGTAACATAGGTTCCGGCTACTCGCGCAACGTTACTGTACCTCCCGCCCCTGGCAAAGAACACCGTTGCTCTAAAAGGAACGATGTGGGCTCCACATATCTAGTGACGCAAATCTTTACATATTATTTCTCGTAAACAGATTCACCCTCAACGCAGCCTGAAGACATCGCCCTTGTCTTTGCCTTCCAGAATGTCGACAATAGCCTCACCATCCATGATCCCATGCACATAACTAATAGCCTAGTTAGTGACGGAAAATAACACGCAACAAGGTGACAGCTCACCATTCTCCCACCATTGTATATGAATCTTGGCTTTGATCATCGGTACGTCTCAGTACGTAGGGCACCTCTCCGCCCAGCAATACACAGATCACATCCTTTTCGGAAGCAGTCAGTGGCAATAAGCAGAAATGACCTTTCTTAGTTATACAAAACCTTCGCCCGTTCAAGCAAAGCTGTCGTTGCTCCATAGCTTGCAGCAAATGTCCCTCCTCCTTCGTGGTTTTAGGCGGGATGTATTTTGCATCTACTGGGAGTCGCTGTGCTGGGATCCACCCAGCATTTTCCTCGAAATGGAGCCCTTCGACCTGTAGGTCGATCAAAGTTGTTCTCCAAAAGGCATCCTCTTTAGCATGAAGCGAATGATATGTTCCAGACTGAGTGTTCATAGCCATGGTTTTCCACTGATCAAGGATCGGTTTGCTTGCGCGGCTAGCAAAATTAATGTCATCTGGGGAGGGGTAAACTTCTCCGCGTTGGTTGACCACGTCAAACACACGGCCTCGTAGAATCAGCGTACGAGGGTCATCTCCAAACTGAATAGCAGACAAGGATCTTGACCGATCTGGTCCAGCTGTCATGAATACTCGCTGCGACTCTCCTACATCTTGGTTGGGCAGAAAAGAGGAGACTGGCCTGGTAGATCTCGAACCAAAATCGGGAACCCAAGATGGAAGACGGGGGTTGCTAGGCTTGTAATACTCTCCAGTCATCCAACGAAAAAAGTCCAGACCTTGGTCTTCCAACAAGGACGAGGAGGTGAACGATAGGTATATATCCTCGGATGGTTTACCATAGTCCACCTGAACTCCGTGGTCGACAAGAAGGCCTAAAAGGCCATAAATCTTGTCTCTGGGGTCGGTTGCCAATCGCTCTTTGAATGACCAAAGCAAATTTGACAGCTTGAGTAGCCCAGGCGTGGAAGGACTGGTCTGATGTACTTGGCGCAGTCTCGTTAATGCCTCTGCAAAGCTAGAGACATGACCGCCGATGGCACGAAATGCCAATATTTGAAGTTTGTTCAACCTGTGTCGCTGCGGCTTATGCCCAGTGTTCATCCATGCTGTGATGAAGGAATGGAATATGGACCAAGAAACCTGACGAGAGCCGCACAAAACGAGGACATCCGGAGCTAGTGCCACTTCTTGTACTATCCATATTCTTTGCCACCATGGAAGGGAGAACAAGTGAGCAAGGGAAATCATTCGCCGAAGAAACCGGTCATCCTCAATGTGTAATAGCCAGTTGGACTCCGTGTCAGATTTAGCAATGTCGGTCAAGTCTGGTATGAAATTAAGAGCTACCGCACTATCGACCATCTCTTCACCAAGCCAAGCAATCACCCGTTCTGCTCTAGTATATATATTTCGCATCAGAGGCACTTGAATACTCTTCTCATCCTTGTTGTTTTGGTTAATGCATATCGCATCAATCCAGATGGTTCTTGTGCTTGAAGATTGCCGCAGGCGACGCAACGCGTTTCGAAGGTTTGGTCGGATGTCAAAGGGTAACCCGTCCAATGATATCCGGCACGTACTCTCTTCATCACCCCATGTATATGAGAGAGCTTCGTATGGTGGTGCTGAATTTAACTGATGGCTCCGAAGCCTGCAGTGAATATCGGCGGACAGGCTTTTTCCAGGAACGAGCTCTAGTAATCCGAAGCTATTGAATGGCAGATGGCTGTATTGGAAGGCACGTCGGCGCCGTTTCTGACCTGGCGACATGTTTAAGCGAAGGACTTGTCGACGAATTCCTGGACCTAGACTGGAAGGGCCACTGGTGTGGGGAATCAAAGTACTAAAGATTTTGGTAAAATATGTTGCTTATTCCACGGTATGGAGTTGTTGAGGGTGATAAGGAAAGCAGGAAACGGCTGCCTGCTTGACTGGAAATAAGAGCTGTCCAAGGCCAGATGATTGATAGAGACCATAGCCGCCAGCCACAGCGCGTACAGCCCATCGTAGATGTCTCAACACAGTATTGGTTCCAAATGCCGCTTAATATGTACTGAAGGCTAGCCCGATGCGTTTCAAAAATCATAACGTTTGTGCAGAGAAACCACCGGGATACGCACCTTTTACTTTGGTGCAACCTTGCAAGGCTGTATTTCATACCTCTGCTGTTTCAACCTTTCTCTAGATCCGCTGAACTTTTGAGAAGCATGCCTCGCCACGAATTGGTAAGGGGTGTCAAGCGAAAGTCGGGTATTGTTCCGTTGTGATTGGATTATGTTCTCGAATGACAATCACGTGATCTGGATGCTCTACTCTTCCTTCCCTCGTAAGCACAGAAGGGGTAAGCTCGGCGTCGATGCTAATGTCATTTTGCTCATTACACACATTACTCAACGACCGTTGTGGAAATGCACATCATCTTATGGTAGCAACCATTTCACAAGGCTGTTTATTTTTTACTATAAATGTTACAGTCATAGACTGTATCTGGGTATCATTTCGTACATGGTTGTAGGCACAGGGCCAGACCATATGTGTCATGTGCAGTTCCTCAAGAGACATTATAGACTACGTTGTCTCATTTGACACGATTGTCTAATCCTTGGTGCAAATATAAATGTTGATAAAACACGGATAGTCATGTCGTGGATGGCAAAAGCTTTGCAGTTTACCGTGGTTGAACAGCGGGGAAATACCGAGGACCCGAATAGCCATAGAACTGAACACTCTCAATGTCAATGTTGCCGTCACGTTTGGGGCTCCAGAACTTGAGTAGGACATGCCTCCCGGAACTGCATAGCCAGCATCAGCAGAGGCCGTCTCGAAGCATTTGTTTTCAAACTCACATGGCTGGGTGGAACTTGATAGTGATCTTGTTCTTGTTCTTTGCAATAAAAAAACGTGCATGCGGAGCAATGGGTGGTTCAGCATCTGTGGTGCGCTCGGATGGCTCGATACGACTAGGCGCAGTGATGCGTGACGCACGAATCGGCTCCATGTACCGCTCTCTCCGCTCTCTCCATTCACTAGTGTATTGGCTGTATTCCAACGCGGGTGCCCTGCGGAGAGATGCCAGGCGCGGAACTGTCTCGTCATCTTCGTCATCGCTCTCTGGGTGCCAACGACTCTCTCTTCGTAGACGATCTGCCATGATGGCAGCGCTAGGGAGTTCTTCGTTAGAGTCCGACTCGTCATCTTCGCTAGCCGCTGTTGTGACGGTGAAGGGTGGCGGGGTAGGAGCAGAAATGCCAGCAGCAGGGCTGTAAGAATCGTCTGGTACATGGTCACAGTTGTCGGCTTCGGCCTCATCTTCATGTTCAACCATCTGACGCAATATGTGTCGACGGTCCGAGTCGGAGCGCAATGAGGATATCAAGTTTGCAGATTCGGCGTTGAGCCTTTCACTGCGGAGACGGAGATTCTCGATGCGTTCCTCCATGTCTTCTTGAGTGCCTTGGCGGGAGTACTGCCATACGGACGGGTCTTCAAGGGCTTCCCGCAAAGATATCTGCTCATTGTCTTCGTTGGGCAGGCTAGGTGTGGGGGACATAAGGGGGGAGCGGTTATCATAATGCAGACTGTATGCAGATGTGCCCGACAAGAGATCATCTGCAGACATGGACACGAAAACAAGACCTTCTTGGACACTGGCACGAGGTTAGCAGTAGGACTGACTAGACGATCAACAGGAGACACGTACGGAGCCGTAAATCCACGGTCCGGTGCTCGAATGACGACCTTTTCTAGGGCAAAGGGGGCCTCGCCAATGTGTTTCAGCAGCAGGTTGCATTGCGAGCTCTCGCTGCAATAGACACTCTTATCGTTCCTCAAGACATTTTGGACTCTGTACAGGCCTGGGGGATTGTCTCTGCGATGCTCGCCGCCGTCACAGCTCACAACTTCCATACGCAGGCGTCCCGGCACGACCTGGCCCTTGTGGCCATACTTGAAGCACATGTACTCGGCGGGGCTGGTTGTGTCGTGGTGGAGCTTCCTGCGCTTGTGGGTGCGCTCGCTGTTGACCTGGACGATTGGGCTCCGGGGGCGGGCGAGCAAGTTTGCATTTACATTGGCGGTGAAGGGGTTGTTGATGGGCACGTCGCTCAGCGAGTCGGGCATGTCGTTGGTTAGGTCCATGGCCGCCGAGCGCTGTTCGCGGATACGGGCCTGGGAGCGGCGGAGGTAGCGTTCACTCGGTGTCGCCCGGGGGCGGCTGGGGTTGGCCGTGGGAGGGCGGCGCGACAAATTATCGGGAGCAACAGTGCTGTCACGTGGAGGGCCGAAAATGCGGTGCAGTGGGCCTCGTCGGGTGGATGTGCGAGCGCGCGCACGCCTGGGGGGCTCTCGCGGTGGTGCGGCCGCCGACGCCTCATGATGCGCGGCACTCTGCTGGCCCGTCATGGAGCGCGGCCCATTGCGTGACGACGATGTGGTGGGCGGGCGGGCAGCCCTGGGCGGCGAGGGTGAGGCATGGGGGAAGTCGAAGCTGCCCGTGGTGAAGGGGAAAGTTGCGGGGGGCGGCGATGGCGACGGGGGTGGTCTAGGCATGGTTGGTGACGTCGGCGCGGCTGAGCATGAGCGAGGGGGAGAGGGCGAGATCGGGCGTGGAGAACAGAAGCTGATATAGGCCGAGGTGTGGGCGGAGATGTTGTATATACGTAGTATGTAGCATGGACGTTGGAGTCGGGGACCAGATTGCGCTATTACCTATGGATGCGTACTATGGATGCCGCATGTCTGGTCTCGGCAACGGGCGAGCAGGGAACAGGCGACGGGCGACGGGCGACGGGCGGGCAGGGTGAAGGATGTGGACGCCCTCTCTCGCACACTGTGTGGCTGATGCCGTCAAGCATCAGCGCCCACACCCACGCCTACGCCCGTTGCCAGTGGCCAGTCGCGGGGTGGGGGCTATGTACGTAGTATGTATTTGTGGAGTAAGTGGGCTGCAGAGCCGCATATTCCATTCCGACCCTCTAAATAGCCTTTGTCAATCTAGGCGTCTAAGTATACAAACTTGCACACAGACATACATGGCATGGTAGTCGGCGACTGCACTGCAGCCTGCCTCTCACCTCCACTTCGCCTGCCTCGCCCACGTCATACCACCGCTTAGTTGGCTTCTTCTGCCCTGGCCTCGCCTTCTTCTCCTCCCCCCATCCACTTCCACTCTTACTCTTGCCCTCTCACAAACCATGGCCGACCTGACCGAGCCCGCCGCGATACCTCCGCCCGCAACCAATGGCGCTCTCCCTGCCGAAACCGCGGCTGGTCAGACGGTCGCTGCCATTGCCCAGGCCAGCCAGATTTCCGCAGACGAAATCGCCCTCTACGACCGCCAGATCCGCCTCTGGGGTGTCCAGGCCCAGCAAAAGATTCGCACCGCAAACATCCTCCTTGTCTCCATCAAAGCCCTCGCAAACGAAATCGCAAAGAACCTCGTCCTCGCCGGCATTGGCTCCATCACCCTCGCCGACCACGAAAATGTCACAGAAGAAGACCTCGGCGCGTCCTTCTTCATCAGCGACGCCGACGTAGGCAAGAACCGCGCCGAAGCGGCAAGGCCCCAGGTCGAGAAGCTCAACCCACGCGTCGTTGTTAAGACAATAACGACCGACATTCGCATGGAGCAAGATCCCGGTTTCTATGCTGCCTACGACGTCATTATAGCCACCGACATGGATTTTCTCTCTACATCGGCCCTCAACGCTGGCGCGCGCATAGCAAAGAAGCCCTTTTACGTGGGCGCATCCCATGGCATGTACGGCTACATCTTCGCCGACCTTGTCGAGCACAACTTTGTCATTGAGCGCGAAAAGAGCAATCGCGACACTCAGATCGGCCCGGAGACTACAACCAGACGCGTCAAGGACGTTCAGGTCAAGAGGGAAAATGGAAAAGTCGTTGAGCTTGTCACCAAGCAGGAACTTTACAGCCCACTCATGCTGGCCAAAGATTCGCCCTTGCCCAGTGACATTGCAAACAACCCCAGGAGGCTGAAGAGGGTGCATCCACTCCTCACCTGTGTTCGTGCGCTCTGGGAGTACCAACGCAACGGCCATGGCATCTACCCGTCCCACACGCCTCAGGACCTCCAGCTCTTCACCACCATTGCCAATGTCAAGCACAAGGAGCTTCTGCTCCCTGCGGAAACCCTCAGGGCTGATGTCCTCAGAAGCTTTTTACAGAATCTGGGCAGCGAGCTGGCGCCTGTTACAGCCTTCTTGGGCGGCCAACTGGCACAAGATGTCATTAACGTGCTGGGCCAGCGCGAACAGCCAATTCAGAACTTGATGCTTTTTGACGGCGAAGACAGCGCGGGCCCAGTCTATGCTCTTCACCCCATCTTCCCAGGCACCCCCGTGCCCATCATTCCGAGCATCCCTGTTGACGCACCAGTAACGGTGGTGTAGAAAGACTGTGAGAAATGGAAGTTGAATGCAGTTTGGGAATTCATGACATGCAGTCCCGGACATCAGAAAACCATATATAGCTAGAGAAAAGATACCCAAATGATAATGCTGCATGACAGCGAGGGAGCAAACAGAGCTCCAAAACTACCTGACCTTATCAATGTGTCTGCTGTGATATCCTATACACCCTACCGCTACTGCTTCTTCTTCCCCTCACCCTCCTTCTTTCCCGTACTTGCCTTCCTCGCCCCACCCCCAAACAATACCCAACACAGCCCCAAAAACGCTGCAAACACCACTCCCATCGTCCCCGCTCTAACCCACCCCGCCTGTCTCGTATCCAACACCGGCACATCAATCCACTCCACCAGCGCCTTCCCGCCCTCAACCTTGGGCTGCACAGTCATAAACCGCGTCTTGGGCCCAAACAACCCCTCATACCCCAGATGCACCCTATCAAACGGATTCGACGGATGCTGCGCCCCCGACTCTGCTCTGCACGCCCAAAACACCACCGGCCACGGCACCGGCAACGCAACATGCTTCTGCGGTGCAGCAGGCAAGTAGCGCGTATGCAGCGGAATACTAACGTTCCAGTCCCCTGCTGGAATCTCTTTATGCGTCGGCAGGCCCTCCCAGACGTTCTCGTCGGGTCCGACATCAACCTCGGGATACTCAATCTTTTCGGGTTTAGGCACCGCGAGTTCGAATAAGGCGGAGGAGCCCCAGGGGGTAACGGCCCAATCGGGAGCTTCGAGGTCGGTGGCGCCGGCTAGAGAGCGTAGGCGCTTGAGGTGCTTGGAGGAGAGGAAGAGGGGGTCGGTGAATTGGTATTGGTCGATGAAGAGGTAGGAGGGGAGGGTTAGGTAGGTGTGGAGTTTGCAGCTGGGGGCTGGGGCGGTGAGGTTCTGGGCAGGGAAGGTGAGGGTTAGGGTTGGGTGGAGGCCGGTGGGTTGGTTGAAGCTGGTGGTGTAGGTTAGGGGATGGGGGGATGGTTTGACATTAGGGTTTTTCGAGGGGGCGACGTGGGGATAGTGGCGTGTTGGGGTTTGGAAGCGTGTGGGTTCTGTTGCTTGAGTTAGCCGAATCCTATCCTGTAAATGCTTGGTTGGTATGTCAAGAACGTACTTGGTTTCTCGTCGTCGCCCAAGACTGTCAGGAAACCGCCGAATTGAATGTCTTCGGGATCAGTGTTTCCCTCCAGATTCAGCACCCCTATCTCAACCGTGGTGTCTTTACTCGGTAACCGTATTTCATCGGTCCATCCCTTTCCACTCTCGCCTGCGTTCGGCCATCCCGCAGTCACAACCACCGCCCGTGAGATGGTATCGTAATCCACATCAACATACTTCGCCGTAACAATCTCCCCCACCGCATCCACACAGTAACCCTTCTCCTTCCCCCCACAAAACATCCGTTGGAAACTCTCCTTCGCGTCCTCAATGTTCCATACATGCCCATAAAACTGCAACGAAGCAGACATGGCAAACCGCTCCGACAGCACAGGCACCTTTGTCGCACTCTGCGACGTAGTCGAACACTTCAACCCAGGCGACACCAACTCATGCAGCGCCAAGCAAAACGCATCGTCCGCCGTATCATCCAGCGGCGTAAAGAAGGCGTGCAGACCCGGTGCAACACGTGACGTAAACGGCGGAGTTGCAATGTACGATCTGGGCGATTGCCATCGCAGATGCATTTCATGCCATTGTGAGAAGAAGAATTTCAACTACATCACATCTGTGTTAGCTCTTCTTGTTTTCATATTCAAGGATGGTTGGGAAGATACGTCGATGGATAACGTACGCTTTTAGGCAGCTCATCCAACCCAAGTGTGATACGGTGTTCCTTGGCCGCCTCGATGCCTTTCAACGCAAACACGGGACCTCGCTTGTCGGTCCCGACTTCAAGTTGCTCGGGCGAGAAGATGTCGGAGTTGTGCACTATGTATGTAATGCGTTGTTTCATGGTTGTTGTTGTTGTTGTCAAATGTATCGGATTTGCTAGAAGTTTGCTCGTCCCATGTCTAACGCGAGCGAGCTACGTCTACCACGAGCGGGAGCAGGCCGCTAGTCCGGATCTACCGCCGTAGCGTAGGATGGCACGCCGCTAGTCGTGGGTATTGGGGGGGGGGGAGGGGGGACGTGCGTTGCGGACATCTGCGTCATCGGGTCTTTTTGGCTGGCGCCGCCACGCTGGGTTTCTAGAATCAACACTGCCCCCCCGGCGTGCGCGCAAGGCATTCTTTCTATTGCTACGGTGGCCTGACACGTGTTGTTGCCACCTGTGGAGCTTCTTCATAATCTACTACGTACCTTACATGTCGGTATTGAACCTCTTCATCGCCTAGGGCTTTCTTCACACGACATGCATATCTCCAACTTCTTGTACCCAGCACTGCTAGCCGCCAGTGGCGCTGAAGCTCTCCGATCAGACAAAGTCAAGCTTTCCAACATTCAAAGCCTCACCTTGCGCAAGGGACAGCAAACATCTGCGCGTCGCGTTGATCCAATCCCCCAAGTATGCGAGCATTCCAAACATACCCCTCCACCAGCTGAAAATACTAACATAAGACGTCCAGCTAAAATGTATCGGAGGCTCCGCTCGCGGCCTCTATGAGCCCGAGATTATGCGTTGCAAGAACAGCGGCTCAGACTACGACGAAAACTCCATCCAGTGGACCTGCACAGCCTCCCTACCTGAAGAATTCAAACTCGGCTCCACAGACGTCATCTGCGAGGGCTACGATTACCCTGAGGACCCGTACATCCTAAAAGGCAGCTGCGGAGTCGAATACAGACTCATCCTTACCGACAAGGGCCGCGAACGATACGGCAAAGGAAGAGGCGGATGGCAAGGTGACGACGACGATCGACGTGATGGTCCGCGGACGACGGGCGAGAAGGTTGCAGGAGTTTTGTTCTGGATGCTGTTCGGTGGCGTTGTACTCTGGATGATTTACTCGGCACTGAGGAACCGTGCCGAGGCACAGAACGGTGGCGCCGCTGGTGGAAATCGACCTGGCTGGGGTGGAGGTGGCGGCGGAGGTGGATGGGGAGGAGGCTACAATGACGATAATAATGACCCCCCGCCACCATATTACCCGAATGATCCCAGGAACTCTAAATCGGGATACGGAACTACTCAAGGCTGGAGACCGGGATTCTGGTCTGGTGCTGCCGGTGGTGCTGCTGCTGGCTGGGCTGCTGGACAGTTTGCTAACCGGGGTAATAGTAGCAGGAGTGGTAGATGGGGTTCTAATAGTGGTAGTGGAAGCGGAAGCCGCTGGAATAATGGTGGTGAGGGAAGTTCTAGGAGTTCGTCTGGGGATAGCTACTCCAGTACTAGACATGAGAGTACTGGGTTTGGAGGCACATCGCGGAGATGAAGGAAACTAGTGAGTGATTGTAGTAGTATGTTCTCAGTTGGCATAAGAATGATACCCCCCCTATTTCTATATCTTGACATGAAAGGTCTACGGAAAACAAGAAAAGTCTTGGTAGAGATGTATCAATGAAATTGATTAAACATAAACCTTGCCTGAAAAAAAAGCCACTCTAATCCCGGGTATCTACTCCTTCTCCTGCAGAAACTCCACAACCGCTATTATCACGTTAGTAAAAAAAAATATAAACCCCTGTAACCACACATAGATGTCCAAACTCACCATTGATAAACTGCTCCGGCTTCTCACTAATAACCCAATGCCCCGCATCAACATCCACCAGCTCGAACCTCGGAAAGAACCGCCCGATAATCGGTAGCGTCTCATCACTCACATAGTGACTCTTGGTGCCGCGAACAAACAGCGCAGGTTTATGAAACGACACGTCATCGGGATTCGTAAACGGGAAGTCGGCCATATTATTCAGGGCTTTTGTCAGAATGCGGACTGGGATGCGGAACTTGAGGGGTTCACCGGGGGCGCCTCGCATGAGGTTGGAAAGCAGAAATTGGCGGACGGCGAGATCCTTTGCGTACGGTTCCATGACTTTGTCTGCTTCTTTTTGGCTCTTGGGCTGCGCTTTCTCGACGGCTTGCATGCCCTCTGCGTACTTGGGGAAGTCGCTCGAGAGAGCGGCGTCGACGGGTGCGTTGTCGACGGGGATGATGTTGGCGCAGCAGTCTGGGTTGCGGAGGGCCATTGTCATGATGATTTTTGCGCCCATGGAGTGGCCTATTAGCGTTGAGTTTTTCAATTCGTGCTTGTTGAGAAAGGCTTCGACGTCCTCGGCGAGCACAGTGTAGTTGTGGACATTGTCGTGGGGGGATTCGCCGTGGTTGCGGGTGTCGATGGCGTAGACGGGTCGTTTGAGAAGGCGTGCGATTGCACTGGGGGGTGAATTAGTTTTTAGTTCATGATTGAAATTGTTGAGGGATTCGCGCATACTTTCCAACACTCTGGTTGTTTCGCTTACTGCCAAATAGACCGTGTATAATCACAATTGGATCACCCTTGGCCTTGCCCGAGTCATCGTGAAGTCGATATGCAAGGTCAACAGCCCTCAAGTTTGCAGAAGCGTGAAATGAGCGCGTCCATGACGGCAAGGGCGTCACATTAAGTCCGCGTATGCGACTTGTCTGCTTCAGAGGGCTAAGCGACGCGAACAGAGGTTGTGCACTCCTCGATATTGTGCGCATGTTGAAAGTTTGATATTGATGGATTTCGGAAAGCTTCCGAACTTTTTTGTAGCGCCAAGACCAACGTCATGCCGCATTTTCCCGGTCTCTTATCTCGTCTGCTTTACGACTCATGTCAATAACAACTACATCTCGTTGGAAAAGTGTTGTCAGACAATGGTACAAGGAGACACAGTCACAACCAATCAGCCTGAGAACTCACCAAGACTTCATTGATTACGGAGAATATGACAGCGTCTCAATAAAAAAGCAGCTATTCGTTACTGGAAGCAACTGATCATTGGAGGTATATTATAGACAACACCTCTTGTAATGATGATACGCCAATACCATTTTTATGGGTAGATGAACTGGTAGAAACTCAATCCCGAAATCCCCGCTCCATCGACTATAAAGATGACGACATAGTGACACCAAAACGACCATGTTCCCGCATTATGGCTTCCCACATAGTTTCCTCACTTCAATCTCCTACAGACACCTCTTATAATCATCATAGTAAGGAAGGCCATCTGTAGATAATTAGTAAATCACCCATTCTCATCTTAACTTTTAAAACTTACTCTCACATGTACTCTGTGTCCATCCAGCCCAAATCCAGCATCCCCACCCAGGAACCCAATCCCACTTCGTATAGCCTTGAGATCCAAAAGGCTTGCCACGAGCCGTACAGCGTACGCCAAAGCGGTCGCCACCCGTGACCGTCCTCTTCCGCGAGCCGCTGAAGGGCGTCGTGTCACACCCCTGAGAAGGAAGTGCGTCGGAATTGAGATAGCAGGTGGCGTCGGCTCGAGGAAGAAGTTCAGCAACAGCTTCTGCGCCGGGGTTTGGGCTGCTCAGTGGTACTGCAGTTGCCACGAGGGGAAGGAGAAAGAGGATTGCGTTGGTGGGCTTCATTTTTGTTCTGCCGACAACTTGAGCACAGATGGCTGTTTCTTTTGAGAGGAAGGCAAGGTGTGAGAATAGCCTCTGGAGCTGTGCAAAGTGCTCTTCTTTTATCTGGACATTTTTGCAAGTTTATATACACACTGTAGTCCGGTTAATGAGAATATAGAAGCAGTTCCAGGCCCTCAAGCTCAATCATCGCTCCTGGGCGTTATTGCCGGATACTCCATCAACTAATGTATGTTCATGATATTTATCAGGGCTAAATACTAGGTTTCTCGGTTTGGTCGCATTGCGGTCTATACCAGGAAGGTCTGTGCTATGGCTCCTCGCAGCAGCTCAGCTGCCAAGCCACCTATAGTGCTCCCTGCATTATTAGGTTACACCTGGGGAAATACGAGGTCCGAGGATATTATCTTGAGTCTTTTGTAGTTCATGGTCAGTTCTCGAGTGAAGAATTGGAGACGCTCAATTAGGTGTATCAAATGTACCAAGGGCATTCATGTCCAAAATTAAACTATGTAGTAGTAGATATCGCAAACATAATCTCGCTCAAAGAAACAAATTATTTTCCCCCGAACCCAGACCCTCAATCCTCCTTGACATGCACAACAATCTTTCCCCTCGCCCTTTCCGTCTTCAACCTCTCATACGCCTTGGGCACATCCCCAAACTCCCATGTCGAATCCACAACAGCCCGTAGCTTCCCCTCCACCATCCACTCGGCCAACTGCTCAAAAACCTCCGTCCTCGGCTTCGCGTCCACAAACACATACCCCCTCTTCCCCCAACTAAACAAGCTTGCAATATTGTTGCCAAGCAACTGCAATGCACCACTTAAGCTCACGCCCAGCCCCACCTGGATGAACTTGCCTTCTGCGCGGAGAAACGGAGTCGACGCACGATACAGATTCGCCGGCGCACCAACGTTGTCTAGTATGAGATCGAACACCTCGCCCCTGTCCTTGAGCTGCTCGATGATTGGCGCAGTGGTGTAGTCTAGTACGTGATCTGCACCTAGGCTCTTGACCAGCTCGATATTCGCCGTGGAGCACGAAGCCGTGACTTCATAGCCCAGTATCTTCGCCATTTGAACCGCTGCCACACCTGTGCCTCCAGATCCACCGTTGATGAACACTTTACTGCCGGGTTTCGCGTACGGAGCCAGACCAGCGTGGACAGTCATGCCGACGAGAGAGATGGCGACGAGGTCGTCTCCCTTTAGCCCTTCTGCGGCTTTTGCGAGTAGGTCTTGAGATACTGGGACGTACTCTGCCAGCGCACCGTGTTTGGGTCCGGGACCGATAGAACCGAATACTATGTCGCCTTCACGGAACTTGGATACTTTGCTGCCGGTTTTTGTGACTCGGCCGTAGATTTCTAAGCCGGGGGTCACGGAGGGGAAGACTAGGCGTGTGATAAGGCCCAGCTCAAGGACCTTGTAGTCGATTGCGTTGAGACCTGTTGCATAGCTTTCGACGAGGACTTCGTCGTCTTTGATGGACGGGATGGGAAGGCCTGAAGGTGGGATGGAGAGGTTCTTTTCCATGGGGCCGGAGGAGGCTTTGAATTGCCATGCGCGCATTGTGGTGGCCATCTAGAAGAGGATATATGATGTAAGATATTTGTGTGTTAGGTAGAAGAAGTTGTGACTTTAATGTGTAGTGAGGGAGTAAGTTGTATTAACCTATTCAAGTTGAAGTTTGTTATGATATCTGTGTAAGTTGATTATACTGTAGTGATGATGATTGTGAACTGATTGTATGATATCCATTCAGGCAGCCATTGTCGTCAATATATATGTATGTAAGACTCCTAAGGCGTGCTCCTCAACCTGCTTCGACACGACAACAGTGGCTACAACCAACAGCGAAGTGCGCGAGCTTGGTCAGCCCTACGGCAAAACATAGAGCTGTAGGCCGATGCCAAGCAATCCTACCTACCATTATACTATCGCTTGTACAATAGATTTGGTTATGTCACAGTTCGCACGTTTGAAGGAGCGAGTCCAAAGCTTACAAATATGACGAATGGACGAGTGCGGGTAAGTTGGAGATGACCAATGCCTGTGCAGCGAAGCGCTAGACTAGAAACTTACTAGCGCGGGGAACACAGTATGCGGAGTTAGCACATTATCGGTATCTTGAGCCGAACTCATGTTGTAAGTAACACTCTGCTACGTCGTCTTCATGCAGTGCTAGATATTGGGTCTGCCTGATAACAGACCCACTTGAATACTTGGAGAATGGCCCGGCGTACTGATAACGAACTGATAGTGTGGCGTTTGGTCGATGGAGGATGGAGTAGCACCAACACGCCTCGTGACAAGCGGGGCTACACGGAAAACGCCCTTTGGTCTGATTGGAATACATTGGTGCATTTGTGATAAATTAAAGTAATTAGTACCAGCTGCTTACCCACTGTTGGTGGCGAAGTACCTTCTGTCGTATTTCCTTACTTCCCTTGCTTGGCTCTATTGATCCTAGGCTCTAGTAATGTACATATGTGACTAGTTGCTCCTGTCTTACAAGAGTGCAATATCACAATGGTAGTATTGACTCAAATCGCTTCTTACATGCTACTTTCACCCACGATGGTTTTAACTCACATTTTTGCGCAAGCACTGGTGACCTGTTTACTCCAACTCAGATCGATCACGTCGCTCCGGTCGAAGACCGAGGACTTGTATCATTATCACTGCAACTCGTAACTGCCGAGAGATATGTAAATCTCGTGTTGAAACAACATACATATCACAGTGCATTATCTCACAGCCCACCAATAGGCGTCGACAGAATATCAAATCCGTAGACTTTTTCCACGGCCTTTGATGCTCATTCGTATATGTAATTCCTTTCAACTGTTCGGATGCAAACGGATTGTATCCCACTATGCCCCACAATTCAACACTCGTTGAGTTTGCTGGTCAATTCTGAGTGTCAGAAAAATATGGGGAGGGTCCTCTTGTTGGGAAATGAGACAGTAACCCAATAAAGTATGTCCCGACGAAGAAAAAACTTCGTCTACGCCCATCTGTTTTGGGAGTTGGATGGCTTGTGCGCATCCGAGAAGAAATTTCTCATCTACATTCTATTGTCATATGGCAACCCCAGTTGTCGCTACTGCTCTTTCATAGAATTCACAAGCTGAATATCTGATGTGAATTTGACACCTGCCTTCTCGGTATTACTCCGGCTCTCGTGATGGTAAAGTCGTAGTGAGACAAACAGAATCCTTCCATAGGGCGATGAGAATATTGGAAAGGATAGCAGTATCGTAGAAAAGGATGCAACTCAGAGTGTCAGCGCAGATATACAGACAAAAGAACCATGCCAGCTCTGTGCTACTGTAGCATCAGTACGTACTCAACGGCAAGGCTGCCTCTTCGCTAGTATGGATTCGAGACATTCTAGACGCGTCGGCCCGCAAACTTGGCTCGGTGGCGTCCGAAATATTGTACGTAAAATCAATGTCTGCCCCATGACAGGTCTTCAATGAGTGGTAGGCCCGGCTGATTATTTGCCACGATCCTGGCTGGTAGTGCGGCTATGTCTATCGACAGATCCATAGCAAGCGGCATTTCTAGCTGCCAAGAAGAGTGCTTTTAGGGAGTATCCCCCGAAATAGTCCATGATCAAACTTCCTTGTAGATGAATCTGTCGCTAAGGGCATACGTAAAACTCCAAGGTATCCATGGTTCCGGTTGCGCCAAGGCAAACACAATCAACAGCCGTCTTTACAATCCCTGAGACAGAATCAAACCGCAAGCCATCCTTTGTTACGTGGATGTAAATGACTACCACCCTGAGACAAGACATTAATGAAAAAGTGACTCCAGACTGCGTAAACTCCGGTGCGCCTTCCCCTGCGAGACATCAGCCTTGCCCATTCATCTCCATCATAATTCCCAGTCCTGCCTCTCAGCGAGGAACGAGAAACCAAAATTCAACGGGTGCGCAAGAGAACTGATGGCTCAACCCGCCTTCCCAGCCACCTTATCCAACACTTCTCCAGCGGCTTTCCTTAACAATTCCCGATCTTCGTCACTCATCTGATCAACCTTCTCCACTAACAGCTTCTTTAAAAACGTATTTTCCTTCTTAAGCCCTTCATTTTCCGCCTCCAGCTGCTTCGTCCGCTCCTGCATCTCGTGGGTTTTCTCCATGAGGTGCTGCTCACGCTGCTTCTTCTTCTGACGGAAACGAGCAGAAGCAGCTTGATTGCGCTTTCTTTTGTCTTCTTCTGCTTCTACAACCACTGGGTCAGTGAGCAGAGTGGCATTTGTGGGGTCAGGCGACGTGGCTGATGAGGTGGATGTCGCAGTGCTGGCAGGGTATGGCGTGCGATAGGTGTTAATGTTGTAACCGTGCGCGGCTGTGGATAACCTTTGAAGATCATCCAATCCGAGGTTTATTGCGCTATCGGGCTCGTAATGGTGCGATAAGTGGCTTCTCATGTTTGGCACCGTTGGTGAGGTGTACTGAAGGCCTTTTGAGGACATTAGCGAGCGTGGTTAAGTCGAAAACAAAATGTCGTGAAAGTGCGGTGACTGCTGCGTATTTGATTGACGAGCGATCCGGATCAACAAAATGCATCTTTGCTCAGCGTGCATAAATACCTCCCAAAGCAGGCAGGCCGTTGTTGCATGTATCGTTGCATCGCTTGATCACGTGCAGCTAGCGGGAGCACGCCATCCTCTCCCGGCCAAACGTCATCCAAGACCGACAATCCAGGGAATTAGGACAAGAATCCAGAACCCTGGGAGAGACAATGCTTGGATTGCAAAAAAAGCGCGTGGAAAAGAGAGGTGAAGAACAAAATAATGATGGCAGGGAAAGGAGGGGTAGCTTACCTGCAACAGAGGGGCTACTCTCTTGCAAGGCATACGCAAGATGCTGGCTTTGCGCAAACTCGTCATGAGTCTGTATGTGCAGTTGCTGCAGATGTTGACTGCCAGGTCGATAGGCGTGGTCGTGGTCGTGGTAGAGATTGGATGCGTCGATGACATCGAACATATCAGGTCCAGAGGAACTCCCATTCGCATGCGCGTCGGTGAAGGTCGGCTGCCCAAAAGCTTGCTGACTGTAGGGGTCGGACATTACTCTCCATGGGCCACATGAACTTCTGCACAGTCGCGTCCTTTTCTCTTGGGATGGTTAGTGTTGGATCAGCGGCTCGAAGGGCTTTGTGGTATGTTCGTGGTAGAGCTTCGTACCCAAGGCCTTTTTAGGGGTTCAAAGACTGACGTTCGTCCCTGCATGGGCGCTGATGCGCTGCCCTATAAGAACGACACAAATGCCAACCCATTACCCGCTTAGGTGGGCTACCTGCCCCCACTGCCACAAGTCCTTTCTCTGAGTGAGCCAAAGCCAGGATTGTGTTGAATTGCGCCATATCGCTCATACGACTGTCGCAGCCCCCACGCTTCTGCACGATGCGTATGTGCAATGGACTACTTACCTCCAAATGCGGGCTGCACAATGGCCTTATTCCCTGCTAGGGTGCATGGATTCGTCACGAGTAGACCTCGTGGGGGCGGGGTTACCCATCGCCCATTACCGGCACTGCCGCAGAGTCCCTATCCAAAATTCTCTGCGCCTCCATCACCGCTTACGCCATCACCGCAATGGCAGTGCGGGGAAGTGTATTCTGTTGTTGCATGATCGAAGTTGCGCTGCAGAGCGTATCGAATCGCTGTGATTTCCGCCTCGACCGATGACAAAACTGGAGTATAACGAGCTTCCGGTAAGTTGATTCCCGTCCGTTCGCAGAACCGAAAAGGCGTCGTTATTCTGGGTGCGCCTGCGGTGCAAAAAGGCTTTGTCTAACCGCAATACCAATATCTAACAGGACTTAGCACTTTGGATCGCATGCACTGCACACCCTAAGATTCGCACCGAATGTACCTTTTAAAGTAACGCACGTAGCGTCTAAAGCGTTTGACCAGGATGAACCATGCTCGAAGCAGGACTGAGCTGCCCGATTCGTAATGAACGGAGCTTGTCGCCGTTTTCAGAGATATCCACCATGCGTCCGATGTGATGAGAAGTTAAATCTTGGCAACCGTCCAGGATGTACAGCGAGCTCTGGAAAATGATAATCTGAAAAGACTGTGTCTGTAAAATGAGCACAGCTTCTATGCGACATACATCGTACATTGCTCGGACTTAGGATCCGGCGAGAGCTGTGGGAAGCCAGAATGCAAGCTGAAAGGGATAAGAATCCGGACTTTCGGAGAGGAGTGGTCGCATGAAGCAGAGATACCGAAGAAGCTGTTCCAATTCCTGCGTAGAGAGGCGGGAAGTGAAGACCGGAAAATGGTTGAGCTCTGTAACGAGAACACTCCGGAGATTCAAATGAGGCCCGTCCAATGTTCCTCAACAAGGGCTTCGAAAAGGAAATTACTGCTACTGTTGAAGAAAGCGCGAGGGAATCTTCATTTTGGAATTGCCGTGGTCGATAGAAGTGATCAGGATGAAACAGCGATTGGCCGAAGGTAATCAAGTTGAATGGGGGGTTAAGCTGAAAGGTTCCTGTGAGCTCGTATCGACCATCTCACCGAGTACGTTCTTTGTAGCTTCAGATGACAGGAAAGTGAGGTTTGATCTCGTCTTCAAAAGTAGAACTACCTCGAGCCAACCGGTTGCTGTGTAGATATCAAGTATGCTGATCCTCAGTGTCTATTGATATTCCTTAACCAAAGTATGATTCTTGTTTCTCCTTGGAGGACATTTTTGAGACTCTGTTTTCAATAAAAGGCACTGGAAAGGTTTTAAAGTCGTACCCATCGAGCTAAGAGCTTGTACATTCGTGAAAGTTGGGTCGTGCAGGAAGAGCTCATATGAGATCTCATATTTGAGAAGGGTACTTCGTCAGCACGAATCCTCGCGTGCTACCAGGGACGGAGGCTTTGAACCAACACCAGGTGTTGAAATAGAAAGATGATTTCTTTTAAGAACCATCTGAGATCCAGACCTGGCGTGACTCACAATCAGAAACTCAGCTTCTCGCAGTTTGGTCGTTTCGCACAATGGCACGTACGAGGAGTTCTGTGTGTTTGTGGGGCGTCGGAAATAAAACTCGATTCATACGCCTGTTGAAACAAAAACCCAACATTGAGGGTGCAACAGGAAGGCCATGAAAGTATGCGGGGTCATGAGGCAATTCATGGCGCGCGCATCCATGAATCAATTTGACGTAGTAGTGAGCTTAGTTCAAGATGACGAGAACTAGTCGGGCTAGCAATTTGAGGCGGTAACGAGAGCACAAGTGCAGATGCTGTGAGGTGGAGGAGGAATAGATGACACAACCGAGAGATGTCAATAATAAGAGCTTTCGGGCGATCGCATTGTTGTTGATTTAAAGTTGCGAGGGTTAAAGAGGGTCGAGGGTTGCATGTGTGCAAGAAGACCCAATGGGAGGTATGCTAGGCATCAAAGGGGGTTAGTATCGCCCACAACTTTCCCCGACGAGCCGAACAGGCACGCATGACAGCTGCCAATCGGCCCTTTGCCCATGTTCGCACTATAGCCATATCTTGGTTTGTCGTCTTTCGTATAGGAAAACAAGTCAATGTTTAGCTGTCATTTCTCAAGATCGAGGCAGTAGTCAATGCTTTCGTCAAAATGTGACCAGATGGACACTTTCATGTTTGCAAGCGGCCAGTGTCTCGCGATGCGGTCTTGCCATGGCCTTTTCGATCGTCACCCATCTGACCGAAGTACGTTTTTACAAATGCAATGTGCCCATGATTGTATTGGAGGCAAATGATAGACAAATGTCTCTCGCACGCATTATTTATTTACCCGGCCTAGTATCATGTGCTTTCCACCCACTCTCTCTAACCAATCCATCCACCGTCTACTCCCTTGAAGGGGTGTCTCCAGAGCCAATGCGTTCGTATCCCATTGGCTTTTGAGCGGCGGATTGCGCAAAGCCTTTATCCAAATTTAAAGGAAGCGGCCAGCAGCGAAGCCCAACGTAAACATGAGGAGACTGAATAGCGCCAGAGGGAGATGATCGTCCCACTACGATACTGGTTAATAAACATCATCGTAGTACAGCTGCCTATATGAACTGACCGAAAGCAGCGGGAGAGGGCCAGAATCTACTGGCTGAGTTTCTACCCCGCCCAACCACTCATAGACGCCCTGGTTTGCTCCCTGGTGGTCTGCCAGCTCGCGCGCTGCCTTCAGTTGGCCGAGAATTTGTTCAGCTGAAGGAAGGAGTCGCTCTTGAATAGTTTCGTCCTCCATCTCGTAATCTAAATCCGGGCTGAACATTGGAGCGGCGGGAGGTCGCGTCGTTGTAGTGGATGGTGAAGGTGACTGGAGGAATACGCTTATAGTGGTTGAAAGTAGTGAGGTGGAGGAGAGCAATGTTTGTGATATTGACAAACAGCTGGCGGAATGGACGTCGTATAGAGGTGGGGGAGTGATTTTGCTGTCTGAGTTTGTGTTTGGCATGAGGCAAGGAAATTGAGGAGCTTGTAGAAGAAGCGTTTGCGTAGCGGCATATGTCAATGCAAGACTTACACAAAGCGCTGCTCGAGCAAAATCCTGACGAGAAGCCAAATTGAAGTGTCGAGAGTGGTTCCAAAGAAGAAGCAGTTCCCTATGTTGTATGTAGAGTCTGAGTAGTCGTGAAGATGCCTTTGGCCTTCTATCCACTTCGGAACGGAATACACTTTTTCTCCTATTGCAATATAAGATAAACAGGCTGTATCCGCCAAACTGCCCAAAGACTCCATGAATTTCTTCTTTTGGCCCAGTAACACTCATGGCATGCGTGCTGAAACTGGATCTCTACTGGCGGCTCGGTCACTGACCGTCGTGAATGTACGTGACACAGACCTGCGACCAAAAGCGGCCGACAATTTGCTCAGACTTGTGCCCACCACTGAGCCTTATCGCACAACGGCAGCGCCACCCCTGAATTCGACCTGGTTTTTGTTCAGTTGCTCATAACGAGATTGTGTACCTATACGCAAGATGGATTTACGCATATACTTGTATCAAGAGGAGCAGCTGATTTCGCCGCAGCGCCAGACCAGACATCGATCACGCACGTTTTCCTCACCTCGCGCACGAAGCCGACCTCGTTCTACACCAGCCCAAGTCCGAATGGCCAGATAAAACGATGGAAGAGGATAAGAGAGATAGAATGAAGAACCTTCTTGAGGAGATCCGACGTTGCGGTACCAGGCAGCGCGAGGCAATCATCTTCCGCAACCTGGGCTGAGACTGCAACAATTAAATTGGCTATTGAAGAGAATGAGGAAGTGAGAGGGTAAACCAAGAATGGGTTCAAGAGGCTAGAAGTTTCCAGGTGAGTGCACGCTGAAGAGAATTTTGCATTCCGCTACAAGGGTCTCTTTTTCAAGAAGCATATGCTGACAACGGTAATCCAGATCGTGAGGGGCACGACAACTCAGTGACTCCGGTTCAATCTCGACGTCGAAATCGAGGAGCTCAAGTGTATAATCATCGTTTCGGAAGACGCTCCTCGCCCTGCTTCGCCTGGCCTCTGCGGCGGATGAATACCTTGATCTTGGCGAATACTCGTTCTACATGACCATGAGATAGGCTCAGCAGTGAGCGTTCTCCACTGTATGGATGGATACATGGCCGGGCAGTCGCTGTTTGCGTGAGGGCCGCCGATGATAGTTACACTGGCACAGGATACCTAGGGAAGTGTCGGAGGTCCTTGAGGCGTGGTTTGACTTGCGTTGTCCGACTTGCGCTGCCAGGGAGGCGGGAGACTTTGCGCGTGGACTGAGGATGAGACATAATTCGTTGACCGCGGCCTTCTTGTACACTAGAACTATAGGTGCTGGCTGCCAGCCATGGGAACACGGCTGTTCAGGATACCGTTGGCGAGAAGCGGTAAACAACTTTGGAAGCATGTGCGCCTGCCAAATGGACTTACAGATGTGAATATAACTATTTTCAACTTGCACTTTTAACGTCTACGTAGCTGCTACTATCCAGCTGTTAGAGCGTGCCGAGTCGTATTCGGACTTTGGCGTATGCAAATGTGATCTTCTTTGATGCGGCCAAAGTTCCGTACCCATTGTTGAAGGCGTATATTGCAGCGGCTGACTTGACGCATCGTAGACCGGCCAAAAAAGGCATTTCCCGATAAGATTTCGATCTCACACTTAGTCTCAGACCAGGTAGGCACGTGAGTGATGCAGGGAGGCAAAAGGCACATGGCAGCTAAGTCATCGCCCTTAGGTGCAAAAAAGAAAGGTCGCACATAAGCTACCAAGCTTGCGCGAAGTCTATATCAGCACTTTAGATCCATCACACTCTATGCATGAGGCAAAAAGATCCTAAATAGAGCAAAAAGAGGGACCCATCCAAGCTGAGCTTGGGAGATGATTCTCTGGTAGTGGGTTTGTGCCTTGCAGGCTGCCGTGTTTGATAGTTCCCTGCTCTCACAATGTTAGTAGTCCTGGTGGTGGTCCGTCCGGATTGAGGTTTCGACTGGGCGGTAGTTCGAACGTTCGGCCTGTGGTAGGAAGTCAGCCTGTGTTCTTTCCGAGTGGGCTATTCCCACGCCCTTTAAGAGGGTGACAGAAAGAAGAATTAGAGTCATTATATAGCCCAAGTCTTTTGATATAGGTAGGTGCCTTGTTGGTAGAAATCCAGCGAGAGTCGTAAGCGGTGTGTGTGCGCGAGCATGGCGGTATGCGTAGGCAGCAAAGTGAACATGAAGACTCCTGACATCTGCACGACTAGCCGCGCAGCCTATGCCTCCTGATTCAGATGACCCATACTGTTTGATCTACAGAGGATTGCTTTGGCACAATCTGCATCGTGGGTTTGATGTCCTGCTGCCGGTGCAACCTTGGGCCCTACCCACACCAGGTGGCATATATTGATCTTAACCGGCAGCTTGAGCCGTGTTCAACAGTGATGCTGAGCGCCTCATGGAGAATACCATGATCCCTTGGAAGAGAGAATAGACTCTGATGATTGGCTTGAATTGGGGATTCAATGAAGCGTAATTCAAAAACACTCGAGGTTTCGAATCGCATGAGGTTGTCACCGCACAATCCCGGTTCAACATGCTGCAGCTGCACAACACAAGGCGTGCCACCGGCAAGTAAATATAAAAAGGGCAACTGCAGTTGCAGTAATGGCTGCTGGCTATATTGCACTGTAGTCTGTGCATATCCATCTTCTTGCTGGCGTGATCCTGTGGGAGTACCAGCATCAAAAATCCAGATGTCATGGATAGTCGCTGCACCACCCCTATTTTGCAGGAGATCACACTGAGAAAACCAACATTTTTTTTCAAAAAACTGGAAATCCTGGAATGATCAAGAGCGCTCGTACCAGGAGTTGTTCTTTGGGCTCCGAGTGATTGTGCTGCTTCTAGGCACAGTGAGCGGTGCCGTCGGCAAAAACAAGAAGCAAAAAAAGAAGATTGACTGGAAACAGCAAGGCTCGAACCAGCAAAAAAGTCATCCTGAAAAGGGCTTCCTACAAGGCATCCGGCGATGTAGGGCATCCCCGAAGGGGCCGTAGGGCCGCAACCCTCCTATATGGTACCCCCCGTCAGCTCTGTTGTTGATGGAGGGATCCAGAACAGAGCGGTATATATAGCCTTAGAGACCGAAGTTGGTGATATCCAGTAAGCTTGGAAGAGTTCCTTGGAGTGAAGGGCAAACAAGGCGACAACGAGGTCTGGGCCCCTTGGCCGATGACCACCAACAACACCACTACTTCATGGACACCATTTCTTCTTCCAGTTCTTTTTCAAATACCAGGACCTCTCACTTTGGTTGTGCTTATGGGCGTTGGCATCCATGATAGACAACCTGATCCACAGCGTACTAAGCCTCTGGATTGCAGCGGCGTAGTCTTCACCCACTACACATTTTGCAAGCATCCTTCACTACCAGCAAGAATGGTCTTGACTCTGGCACTTGGATGACAGAGCAACTTATGTTTGTCTAGAGAGACAGGGCCTGCATTGTGGTTGTCGTCCCCGAGCTCTGATTCTGATTTAAACAGGTGCATCAGAAACTTCTCGCTCAGACGCGCGCAGTAGGCACACAAGCGGGGAAACAGCAAATATGCTTTCCACACATCCTTCCTTACGACAGAGAGAGCCTAACCACGCAGTTCATTGCTGAAAGTAGGTTCGCATGCGTGCCTTATACGCGCAAGGTTTGGCGGATGCACTCTAGTGTTGGTGTTCATACATCGCGAGCGTCGTTGACCCCCGCAGTGCTCACACTCCAACACCCCACAATCTTCAGCATCGCCGGCAACGACATCGCGACGGCAGAGATGTGCGAAGGCGAATAGAGGATACTGGGCGTATGGCGAGATGTTTGTTTCCATTTCCAACACCGAAAGCTGACGAGACTCTAGAACCGGCGGCATTACCGTGCTGGCTTCGCGTGATGCTTTCAACGAGACTCTATCCTCATCGGCTCGTCTCTTGCTCATCGACAGCAACTGCAAGCTCCCCTTTCCGTACAGATGTACATCGATGAATAGCCAAGCTGCGCCGTGGCTTGCAAGGACAAGACAAGTTCATCGCAGCGTCAACTCAAACAAGCAGATGACCGATAGGCTTGCCACGCAATCCCACATGAACAGGGAGAAGAACATCCCACTATTCACAGGTTTGAACTGCAGAAGAATCCTCTCATGTAGTTGCCAGATGGCTCGCAGCAACGGCAGGTTAAGCTGCCATCCCCTGGCTTGGGACCCTGCTCACGGAGATCCGCGAGCGCGCATCTACGAGCACGGGAGCGCCTATAACATTGAAGGCAGTAGGCGATACACAACGGTGAACCTTGATCGCTCTTGAGGGTCACATCTGTGAAATACTCGACAGCCTGAGAGCTAAGGTTGCGAGCTTGCGATGAAGCTGAATAGTGACATCGAGTGACCACTTGGCGAACAGGTAGGCATATGTTCTTCAAAGAAAAACAGGTTCTCTTGATGACCCAAGAACAGAAGCTACAGTCGTGCCGAAATTGCTAGCTGGAACATAGCTGCGCTGCTGGAGAGTACCTTCCCTTGAGTATTTTTTGTCCTGACTGACGGCGACGATAGGCCGTTATCCGCATATTGCTCGAGCAGGCACCGTTCCGCCTAAAACACACCAACCCGGCTCATCGCTGAGCTACAAAGGAGCTGAACATACCGACGACAGGCTTCCAGGAACACACCGCAGCTAGCCACATTATTGGAATGCAGAGGGGTATCCGAAAACTACAGGTGTTGGGCCGTCCGTGCAGAACGCTTTCTATGGCCACCCACTCATTGTCGAGAACGGTTGTCGGCTAACGTCAACATACGGCTGCGAAGCAGCACCATGTGACGAAGCCCGGCATGTTTTGACACCTCTGTAGATACCGGTGGTCAGGCGAAATTCAAACACAACATGGCCTGGGATAGGAGAATGGCCCGAGATGCACCCAGCCGAGTAGCAAACTGCTGCATTGCATCCGAGCAATCGACACACAGTCTCATATCGTATTGCCAGCCTTTGTCATTTTGAAAGCACGCAGAAAACCAGTGGGAATAGCGAGCTACACCTGGCCTCTAAGGACAATGACCAAATGGCTGCTGCGAAAAGTTCATAGTCGATCAGAAAAGGCGACACGTCTGGGCTTTCTGAGAGCATGGGCTGACAACTCAAACAGCCTTTCCGGAACAGTTAGAACAGCTTGGGGTAACAGGGTTCGCATGTAGCCTCGGATGTAGACAGCCAATCTGCAACCCAGCCTTCGATCCCAGAATATCGTGTGCTCTTTCTAACCATCTAGACCACCGGGCAGGTACGCAGAGCCATTCAATGAGCTGAAGTATGACTTGAGCTTGCCTCATAATAAACAGGCTCCTGATCCAATTGAACCTGACCTGGGAAGATGAGAACCGAATTGAATTGTGTCTCAAGGAGGCTTGTGTTGTTGTCATGGAACCAAAGCTGACTGGTTGCGAAATCCTGATCGCTGGTATTCAAACGTTGTCTCAGGATTGAGGAAAGATATCGAGAGCGTGCAAGCCGAAGAAAGAGCAGGACCATCCCAAGGGTCCATCAGGATACCTCCTGTCAAGACTTTGGCATACTCCGGATAGCCTACGCACTAGGCCAGTTGGTATCGCCCGGAAAGATATTGGTATCTGCAGAGATTTCCCTTACAGCCAAACTTTGTATCTGGACCACGTTGGTGCAAATACCATGCCGGCTTCAAGGACATGTCAAATTGGAAACCTCTTGACTCGGTCAGGAATGAGAGTGATTTGGCATCCACCCTTGAGATTCCCGGCTTCATCGGTTTTCAAAGTGGCTTTATTGCAACCCGTCTCTTTTTTCAACGTTGTATTAAGAAAGATCTCTGCAGCTCGAATCCGGTCTCCTTCCAAGTGGTAGATGCCTCAGGGACTCTGGCCCGAAAGGGAAAACTCGAAATGAAAAATTCGCAACGATACTGCATCGACCGATTTCAAAGACAGGAATTCTACCCAAGCGCAACACAGTCTTTGTTCCTTTCCTATATGGATGATTCCGGGTTAGGTATGACGCAACCTTTTATTGGCACACAAACGATATGTGGCATGGTGTTAAAGCTGTTGTGTTCGTCCATGCCTCTTCCTGCCAATGTCAAGGGGCAAAATTCATGTTGGTATTGACCCAACATGAGCTCTGGAAATGCTGAAGCCGTACCGAGGAGCTGGTGGGTATGCGGACCTTGAGGAAGCCGACTCCAACACGGGGCTACACGTTGTGGTGCAATCGATTCGGGCATCGGTGGCCATCTCCCATCGCTGTGCAGACGACCTTGGGATAGCCATTGTGTTCGTAGCAGTGTATCGCATGACCTGAGTGGCCATACTACCATTGACAAGAGTCACTGTGGTGTTGACGTCGACGATTCGAAACAGGGGTTTGTCCGCGGACAGTATTCAGCTGTCGTGTGCTACCAGCGATGCCCGTCGGCTGCTCGCAGAAGCCATTCAAACTCAGAAGCGCCACACAGTGTGAAGACCATAGCCACGAATGGATCCAGTCATGAGGAAAGCGGTGGGTGTTGACCGCTCAACCTGTCGTCTGTTATTGAGAGGCGTTCGCGCCTCCTAAGCGGCGGGGCAAGAAGTCTGTGTTCCAGGCTATACAAATGTTCTCTTTGTCAGGAGCTGTATGGCCTCGATTCCCGATGGAGAGATTGACGGAGCCGATGAAAGCTTCCGCGTATTGCAGAGAGTATCGCGGCCGCCTAGACTGAGGAGTCGAGGGTGTGACATTACCTGAGGCCATGGTAGCTCTTTGGGCGTCTCGAGGTCGTGCAAACTCCGCGCAACTTTTGCATGCGGGAGGTGACACAAGAGTACGACACAAGCTCCAGAGCGCTTCTGCTTACCTCTCTTGGGTTTCTCGGGAGTGTCATTCTCTCTCGCGATGTTGGTAGCGAGTACCGGCGATGCGGATACCCGAACGCGTTGAGAGGATGCATTAGGACCAACAGGCCCCGAAAGGCTTTATTGTCAAAAGAAGGCAAGCCTCCTGAGGAATCTACCATGTATACTCAGGGTGTACGAGCCGCGATGGATCGGTATATCGCCGTTGTCATCGGCGTTGGATTGGTACGACGAAGCTTTGCGGCCTGAGGGGTTGGCGTGACAGCAAGAGATGCAGAAGCGGCTGCAAGGCCATATGCATCTCACCGCTCGGGTTCTTCATCTCAGACAAGTATGAGAGAAGAGATACGGAAGTGTGCGGATGTCTTTGTCGAGTTCGATGGCTGATCGTGGTGGGGTGGGTGTAGTGAGGAGCAAAATTCAGGAGGGGGAAACCACATTGGTGTTGAAGGTCAATGCGGGCTTCAAAGAGAACAGCCACCCACCAAGAGTGTGACAGGTACACGAGGAGAAGGAGGAGGGATTTTAGCAGCTCGAGAGGCATGATAGAAGCAAAAGAGATGCAGCTTCGCAGCTTCAGGGCCCGACGTCACTCGAGTCGGACCGAATCCTTCGCGCATGTCCAAGCGAACCATTGTGGAGCTTGACCTGGGGCTGCAAGAAAAGCTACCACAAGCAACGCATCACCATTCAGAGATCCAAGAGCTTCTCGGCTGCATCCTCTCAAAACCCCGCAATATCTCCTGGCAAGAATTCTCACAGAGATCTGCTTATGAAAAGGGGCCTTATGATGTACACGCTCAGGTAGGTTTACCTGATACCGTCCTTCTCGAATCCGAGTAGTAGCTGACGTTCCTACAGATACTTTCGAATGACTATACTATAGAATACTTGAATGCATACTCTTATTTTCCTTCTCGGTGTTCTCTAATTCATTGCCTTGTGAGACTGAATTGTGCCAAGGCTGCAAACTAAACGGACAACGCCCTTACCCACCGCACTTTTAGCGCCAGAAACCTTATTTACACTTCTACCTACTTCCTTTACCCACTAACCACAGCTGGTTGATCCTTCTCCAAAAGTTCATCCTTCTCATGAGTCCCTTCGCATAGCAATGGATAAAAACACAGCGTTCACATGTTTCTTTCTTTAGCCTATGACTCCTGGTCATTCGTCTTCCTTTGTCTACCAGCAGCAAGACGGCCTGACCCCGCCAGGGCAAAAAGACATCATCCAGAGTCACCTCCTGTATCTCCATCAACGCTGATCCATCCCTGGGAGCCAACAAAGAAAACATAACCTTCCGTCATACTACATCTCAAGCTTCAGCTCTACTCCCTTTGCGCGAAGTAGCGTCGACTCGATGACCTGCCAAGCTTCGTCGCCTGCGTGACTTCGGGCTCGAAGACAAACATTGTAGACTGACTATTGCAAGAGCTAACAAACACACCGTTTTGGAATAGTTCTGAACACAAGCACCGGAGCTGCTCTCTCGCAACATGAATACACAAGGCTGATCACGATCATTGTCGCAATGTTCCTTCGGATAACGTATGCGTGGGTGTGGGGTAACATCTCTCCTTGTAGCTCCAAGGATCCCAGAGACCATATGCCCACTACCTAGATCACTTCTCACCACAGATACCAATGCGGCCCGGAATTCTGCCATATTGCTACTTCAAATTGGTTTGTGTTGACACTTGAGCGTCGACAACCCCGAACCTCGTTGATGAACGAGGATATTGACAAACGGTCGCATCTCGCACATACGCTGTCACGATCATGAGCAACTCGCCACCCCTATGCCAGTACTATCACTCAGCAATTTGATTTACTCGAATTTCGCTAGCTACCTGGATAAGTCGTCGGTCATTACTCTGATCCCTGCGTACGCCAGCTATTACACTATTGTGAATCGAGCCATACTTGGATCCTCATTGATATATCGACACAACTATCGCAGCTCCTAGTTGCCCGCCATACATAATCACTCCTCGATATATCTCTACAGCTATCGCCACTCCATAGTGCTTGCATATCATCGACGCCTTGAATCGGAATTTTTGAATGGCCGTACGCCTTGTGTGTATGTTCATACCACATCACATCCGATCATTTGACCAGATTTCGGAAACGATCGAAGTACAATTATGTGTTCGATCATAATGGTAAGCCATGTGGTGTTTCAATAAATTCTTCACCTCAACCGACATTGCACTATGTCGCATACATCTGTTTTTATCTTTTTTTGCGCCTCTCCTTCGTATCAATGCCTCCATCTTTACTTTTTATCCCTACTTCTTCATCTGCTTCTCCTCTCCCTGTCTCTCTGTCGGTCTGTCGGTCTGTCTCCTTCCTTTCTATGTCTTTGTTCCCTTATCCTGCCTTTCGCTCAAACCTCGGCACATTCCATCAGCCATATGTCAGAGCACATACAAACAACTAAGCGTGGACGAATTGACATAGGTGCAGGGGCACAGTGTGTCGAGATAGTCTTTAGCAACACTATTCCTCCTGATGTATCGCTAGAGCATCATCGTCGAAGCCTTCACAGACACTTCTACAGGCACGTATGCTATTCATGGACAAGGCGCATACCATAGTCTGGACAACAACATCCTACCTACCTTCACCACAAGAGCCCTTACTCCGGGCGCGCAATATACACCGATATCGTCCTGTTGGTATCAACCTTCACCGCCTTTGTAACCCTCCCCCGCCCCCTCTTCTCACGAACAAACAATATTACCTATTCAAATCTCCGGTACCGCCGCCTAGGGTTGCGGGGATACTAATCTAGTGAGAGATATCTACGTCATGGAACCTTCTGTCGGCCGTTCTAGTGCCGCTTCGACACCGCTTGTTTCGGCTGTGACTGAGGATCTGTGGGCATAAAAGACTTACCTGGGCTTAGTTTTTGCAACTCCGGGACTACCAAAACCATCACTCTCTCACTTGAACATCCCCTCCTCAGTTGATCTCCAGATATTGGCACATAGGGTCAGATAGCTTTTACGTTATCAGTTCCCCAAGTGTATCGATCATCGACTCAACTCTAGACAATAAGTGCGAACGGCAACACATTGGCGACGCACATTCATTGTCTGGCTTCAACTCAGGTTGCTATTCGATACTGACCTCTTCTTGCCCTTCACTGCAGCTGTGAGCTCCCCAGACTCACAAAGGCAAGTCACAGTAACAGCCAAACACTGCAACAGAAGTGCTTTGAGATTGAGATTTCCTCTGGCATCTACCGAGCTGCCTGCGTTTAGCTATCTTCTCCATTAGCACGCGAAGCTGTACTGCTGTGGCCTTCTCTGAGTGCTCACGAGGTACATCGCTATCTTGGCGAGCTCGCTGCCTGCGTGGTTAGGCTACTCTCAAGCCTGCAAACGCTTACACCCTATCTGCACTGAGGACCTTCCTCTCTAAAAACAACCTATTTCCGCCCCTCCGTTGAACAGGTGTGAAAGGTATGTATCACGACGGCCCCTCCCTTGTTTCTGTGGACTTTACTAACAGGAAGACATAGGGTTACCTACCTTTCATATCCCTTTCGTGAGCTTGTGCATTGCTTTTGGAGCTAGTCTCTTGCCACGCTTCGGGTAAGCTAGTCCCTTGAACGAGCAGTGTGTCCCGCAAACACTAATTCTTCTACAGTCACGCCTTTGATCCATCAGACCATCAAGCATCATGGGCTCCTTTCACAACAACCAACTGAAGATGGTCGGCTTGTTCGATTCTGATGAGACATACTATTCCCCGGGCCAAGCGCCGATGGTCCCATGGCCCTCCCAGAGCAACTCTAGCCATTTCGATGACGCTGGCGTTGGGTACTTCCACAACCATGAGTCTACGCCGCAGGTCAAACATGGCTTCGCGAGCCGTTCGTTCCAGCCAGACCACTTCATTGCTGACTCTGTCGGTAGCCAGTACCAGAAGCAAGATGATGGTGTTCGGGCACAGAGCGAGGATCGCGTTTCCCAAGTGAGTTACACCCCTGGGAAGGACAGCGAGGACTGGGAGAGTGCTTGCGAGGACCGCCTACCTTCCAAGACTACAAAGATCAACAAAGATGGTGCACCTCGCAAGCCTCGTCAGCCTCGCCCCAAGCTTCTCAAGTGGACCGACAATGACTGGAAGAATGCTGTTCTTGGCATTGTCTGGTCATGCGGCGAGAAGGGCATTCAGATCCCATTCGAGCAAGCTGCTCAGGTTGTTGGCAAAAACTGCACCGCCAGCGCGCTTCAACAGGCTGTGTTGAAGTTGCGTGGCAAGCAGGTTGCTGACGGCAATCGTATCCCCACATTGAAGATGGCCTGGACACGCAAGAATAGAAGTGGAAGTTCTCCAACGCCCATTGCTAATACGCAGTCTACGCAGGTCCAGTCTCCAATCAAGACCCATCCATGCAAGCGCGCCGACTCTCTTATCGTGAAGCTCAAGATCGCGCGTCGCGGCGTCGACAGTATGCGTCTTGAGACTGCCAAGCAGCCAGAGATCAAGCTTCCTTCGGACATGTTCCCCTGTGCTCAGCACACCACTGTTCAGCAGTCTTCCCGCCAAGCCCATCTACATTCTACGCAACAGCCCCAGGAGGTGGCTTCCAAGGTCGAACACTACAACGCGAACGACGGCATCAACATGAATTATTCATATGCTCCTCCCTACGCCAATCCTGAAAGCCAGGTTCAGATGGGCCATGATGCTGGAAATCAGGCATATATGGGCTTCGGCTTCGGTACATCATCTCTTCCGAACATTACTGAGGAGTCTGCCGAATCGGTACAGCAACGCAAGCTCTACAACCGCAACCATATCGTTTTTGACGATCTCTTGATTGACCAAGACGACTTCATCATGGGTACTACTGACCAGCTGCGTTCATTTGAGGGCATTGTCACTCCAGAGAACAACCCCTTTGAGAGTGGTTTTCTCACCGATATGCCGAACCAGGCAACCCAGGTCTATGGAAATCCCTATGGAGGCAACGCCGAGTACAGCCAGGAGTCCAACCCAGTTGATCATCGCCAGCTGGGCTCTGTCAACCTCTCCGAGTTTACTGACTATGCCGCTTATTCTGCGGGTGACAACAACCAGGAGCCACTTGGTGACATCTTCAAGGCCGAAGCTCCTGAGCTGCACCCATACAGCCCCCGCTACTTCGACTGAGCCTTTCAGCTCTTCATTCACACCCTCCTAGGGCGATGATAATTCCATGCATGTAAGACTCTTGTCAGCACATAGGTTGAGCCCTTTACTGACGAAATCACTTCAGTACTTTTGACGACCATTGCGACTCGGTGCCTTTTTTCTTCTACGATCCATGCGTTCCATTGCTTTATTTTACCTGCACAAACCCCTTGCATTACGGCACGATTGAAAAGCGATTGGTCCATTCTTCACCACTCAAAATCGGTCCTAGCTCGACAATTTCTTGTCTGCTTTGGTACACGCTTGAACAATGTCTTTTGGACATGATGGAAGTGATGCGATTCTCCGCATAGGATCTTGGGCAGCGCAAATACCCCGAAGGAATATTACCACTTGGTTATTTTGAGAGGGATCCTGATTGCGCTGCGGAGATATGTAGTTTCTCTTGGTTCAGTCACAAATGGTCATAAACTTGCTTATTTAAAAAAGATGCAATTTTGCTGTGATGTTAAGGTGATGGTGCATGTTAAGCGACATCCGGATGTCTACACGGCTGTCACCATATAATACCTGACGGCACATTCAAAGGATGAATACCCTTCAACTCTCAAGCTCCTGGATTATAGTCCAATTAAGGTACGTGATTGTTCTTCAACATGTGAATACCACACCACCACTTCATACCTTCCCATCCATTGCCTTCATTCTCTATACATGTGTACAGCCAACACACTTCCAACGCACCGCTCTATTGTGAAAACGCCTAACCCTTCAGCAAGCCACGTATTTGCATTACCTTCACGATGCCAACCTTCCACCAAACCCGGTATACATATACCATCCACACGTCCTCTATTCCACTGCCCTCATCACCACCACATCTATCAAAACACCAACAATACGCAGACACAAATTCATGCACCACACCCGCCCCTCCCAAGATCCCCCCTCCCTCTCCGCCCTCCAACGCCTGCGCCTCCCTCATATCTTCCGCAACCCTTTTCTCCAAGGAAACCCGCTGCCACTAGGCATACACGGCAAACGAGCGTACGTCCCCGGGCAGGAGAAATTGCGAGTTAGAGATTTTGTAAGCAAGGCGGGGAGGAGGGGTGATGAACCGGCGGTTGGATATAGGATTTTGGCTGCGTTGGATAGGGTTAGGAGGGGGGAGATGGAGGGGATGAGGAAGGAAGGGGGAGGGAGTGAAAAGAGGAGAAGGGAGAGTCAGAGTGAGAAGTGGAGGAGGGGGTTTTATACGCCGTGAGATTTGGTTTTTCGAGTAGTAAGGTGGGTGGGTTGAGAGGAAGGGGTGCAGGAGTCACGTGGTGGGGTTTGATACATTTTGTAATGTGTATGATATGTTGCACGCAGGTATATTGATCGCTGTGCTTGATTAAATTACTTTCTCCTCCGAGCTTCCCTTCCTTCGTTTGCTCCCCTTTGCTGGAGCCAATTTGAGCTATCCCAGCTTATTACGATATGTGCAGTTCCGCAGGAACGCACTTAGAACTTGGCAGGCTGGGTCTCAGTAACGGGAGCTGCCTCCTCGTGCGCAATGCTGCGCTTCCTCTCCTGGTTGGCCGCGACCTCGCTGAGGCTAACATTGCGGGCGACAGAGGGATCCATATCGGCATATGAGACGGCAGGGCGGAACTCCTGGGACTTCCATGCCTTTCCAACAATGCCGTAGAGTTCGTCGACTTGTTCAAGACTGAGACCCTTGGTTTCGTAGATCATGGCCCAGCTGCAGGAGCGAGTATGTTAGCGAGGTTCATTTCAGATATGCATTCAAAGATTGACAAGCAACTGGGAGATTGCCACTTACACAAAACCAATGCAGACGAAGCAGAAACTTCCCCAGATGAAGAACACCTTGGATTGCAAGTTGGCGTGATCGGGGTCGACCATGTAGGGAGTCGAGTAAGCAATAGCCCAGTTGAGCAGCCTGTAGATATCTTCGTTAGCCGAATTGCTTCCCAGATTCGTCAATATGCCTTACCAGTTGCTAGCAGTGGTCATGGAAAGACACTTGGCACGAGCCTTGAGAGGGAAAAGCTCGCCAGTCACGACCCACGCGACCGGTCCCCAGGAACTGGCGAAGAAGAAGATGTAGATGCACACGAAAGCAATAGCAGCGCGCTGAGCGGGCAGATCGGTAGTTCCGGCGACCGTTCCGGTGATGGCGACAATGAACTGGCACACGCACATGCCAACACCTCCGAGCAGGAGGAGGTTACGTCGGCCGAGACGCTCAACCATCCAGAGACCGGCTACATAGAAAAGTCAGTACCTTGCAGATGCTGAAGCTATCAAGTGGAACTTACGGAAAGTAGAGGCGACATTGACGGAGTTGGTGATGACCTGAATGATGAAGGGATTGTCGAATCCAGCCCTCTGGAAGTACTGAGTTCCGTAGTCTACACCTCGTCAGTAAATTATTACCGATCCCAGATAATGCAATACCCACAGAAAATGAAGTTGACACCAGTCAACTGTTGTAGCGCTTGCAACAAACATCCCGTCAACAGTCGCTTGCCCAGTGTACCCTGGAAGCACTCAAGATATGTCGATTTGCCCAGGGACATTTCGTAGAGATGGTTGGCTTGCACTTCGTTGAGCTCCTCAACGATAGCGGGGTGGTCAACAGGCAGACGACGGAGTTGTCCAAGACTCTTCGCAGCTTCGTCGTACTTGTCCATCTTGATGAGGTATCGCGGGGTCTCTGGGAGGAAGAGAAGTCTGAAATTTGATGTTAACCGGTGTAGTTTATTGCCTTTAAGAAGAGTACATACCCGGCAACCAAGATGATAGACCACACAAATTGGACAGCAATGGGGATACGGTACGATCCCGAGTCTTGACGGTTCTTGGTCGCATTGTTTACGATGGCAGCCAGGAACAGCCCAATAGTGATAGCCAACTGGTACGCTCCGACAATCGTTCCACGGATCCATTTTGGAGCAGTTTCACTTTGGTACATGGGAACTGCAAAGCCGTTAGTTTTAGACCAAAAACGGGCAGGAACAAAGAAGACTTACTGAGTGCAGAAATAAGACCAACTCCGTATCCAGCAAAGAAACGGCCAGCGATGAAAAGAGGCTGTGTGGTCGAAGCAGTTTGCAAGACAACACCAAGATTGAAGACCACGCCTGCTGAGGCGATCAAACCCCAGCGTCTTCCAAGGAAGTCACCAAATGGAGCTGCTGTCAAAGCACCGAAGAAGGTACCGGCCGAGAGAATGGACACAATCAACGAATCTTGAGCTGCAGTGATACTGAAGTCTGGCTCTGTGGAGAACTCCTTCTTCCAGTAGTCCATGGCAATAATACCGGAAATAGTACCAGTATCATATCTGCGGAAATTAGACATAGTCCACCATCAGCACTATGTACTGCAAACTCACCCGAAGAGTACACCACCAAAGGCAACGAAGAGACCGACTAGAATAGCTGGCCTGTGTAACGTTTAGCTATGATTGCTGGGAATGCATTGAAACAAACACACCATGCCTTGCCAGGCACATCTGGCGGGGGCTTAAGCATAATACCCATGATGTCAAGGTGCAACTCAAGATATGTAAACTGGGCAAGATAAACGTAAAGGTCGCAAGCCCTTGGAGCAACAGGATGAACAAGGCAGCTGCGAGAAAAAGGCGCGCGCGCAGGATGCTTTTTATCTCAAAACGCCAGTCCGGGCGAGAGCTCTCCATTGCCGCCTGGGGCTCCAATAGAGCACCCCTGCTGGACACACTAACAACAATCTCACGAGACGCGCACCCCCGTACATACATGCCCAGCCCCGGTCTCAGTCGACAAGGATGGGAAGACTTGCACTAGCCATCCCCCCGCATGGAGTCGCAACCACTCAACACGGGCTTGGCTGAATTACCCCGGATTCATATGGCTTGCCTCCGTGCCACATACGTCGGAGGCTGGTAAATGCGCCGACGGCTGAGACTAATCTTGATAATGTCAGTTGAACGTCAAAAAAACGTCTGTCAGCTTAGTTGTATGATGTAGACCGATGAAAGAATTAAAAAAAGTCGGATGATAAAGGAAATCAAGACAAAACGGGAAAAGGTGGATGGGGAACAAGGCCAAGTGAGGCTCGGCACATTTGCCCACGAAAAGCATGGCGAGCTTGCCATTCACGGCGTAGGCCGTGTGCGGACTTGGTTACGGAACGTGGAGATAGTTCTGTTGCCGAGACGCACGAAAAAAACCTTTTCCAGGCCCTGGTTGGATGAGGTTGCATATTGGGTAGGGTATTTGGCTACAAGCACTCCACGGGCCGACTGTGACTCTGCACGCCCAAGTTGCAGGAACAGGACAGGAGGGGAGCGGCAATTGGAGGGTCCCCCGGTCGGAACGTTTCTCGGTCCTGGGAGAAATAATTCCGCACTGTCGTGTCGAGCGGGCGATTTGAACTCTGTTATTTGCGCGCTCCGATCGCGCGTTTTCACTTGGCAGAGGGCGTGGCAGACGCAGCAGGCGCCGACTAGCGCCATCTTGTCTCTGCCCTAGGTGTGCAATTGCGAGTCAAACATGAGGATGGCCGCGGCGAGAAAGGTTCTCGTGATGTCCAAGACTCGGTGTGCTTCGAGTTTTTTGCCCAGGAATCATCTGCCTGCTGAGGCTCGGCATGCTGACCTGGGTGGGACTTACCAAGACATCGGGCGTGCTGACGCTGCAGCCAGTCCAATGTCACTTGCAACCGTTGCAATGACGACAGGCAACGGAGGGAGTAAGATAGGAAATGCCCGGGACGACCATTCGTCGGATATCGGATCGTTCAGCCTGAGGTATATAGTTTTGTGTAAGCTGGAGTAAGTGGAGGTGATTCTGGGGTTGAGTTTGCGGAGTATGATCGGCCCGTTTGGAGCCCAAGATGATGGCCGGCCAATCTGTTGACAGCCGGTGTCACCGCTAGAAGACGCGAAGATGCATCGCGGGCTTTGCATCGAAACTAGAGTTTAGTACGCGGCACGACGATGGGCCAATACTAGAGGCCGCCGGTAACTCGTCCAGACCATAAGCTCGGCCATATAGTGTTCGGCCACATATAGTGATCGGCCACCTTGGCCGCCCACCACAACGCGTGACTCTCGTCCATATTCTCAACACCGCAGATCCAAAATAGATCCCCATAAGCTAGCTATACAATCTACTATTAGAGATTTAAATTCTAGT